AGTTCTTTAAAAAAAAAAAAAAATCCCTGTTACCTTTTCTGTTTCAGAGAACTCTCTCTTCAGGGCTTCCACAGGAACTCAATTTCAGAAATCTGTGCTCTTAACAGAAGGGGGCACTGTTGAATGATGCTAACTAACCATCTCCCATCAGCAATTTCTGGGACAGGCAAGTCCTGAATTTTCCAAGGTTTAAAACAACTTTTGCCCCCAATCTTTCAGAAATGCCTATACTTCTTCCCCACTCCAATAACTCCTTAGAAATTAATATCCAAATGATCTAAAATGCTAAGACAGAATTAAAGGATTTTGGATTCATGAAACGGCCAGCAACACATTTTATTTTTATTAAGGGACCAAAAACAGGAACATGAGCCTATTCAATTTATTTTTAATTTTGAAGGCTATTTTAATTATCTTCATATAGAAAATCACAAAGTTTATCAAATATTCTATAATCTCTGGGTATGTGCATACTACATTTTACCAATAGTGTTGAATATTCATTAGAAAATTACCAGGGATTGAATTTACTCGAAGTTTGATGACCAGATCACTTTACATGAGTGAAATAAGGAACAGTGGGGAAAAAGTTTGATACAAAATGCAGACAAATTCAAAGGATTAATTTAGCTCTGGGGTTTTATAAAAAAATCAATAAGTAAAACATTTACTGCAATTTAGTCCCAACATTTGGTTAATATCTCGTACCCAGACTAAACTAACAATAGTAGGTTCAGGCTTCCACTAAACTTAGCATGTACAATGTAGAAGGCCACCTCAATCCCACATATCGATATTTCTTTTCCTGCAGCAGAGCCAGCTCCACCACTATGTTGTCCATCTGTTCATCTGAGTTCTACTATTACCTTATATAGCAACTATGGGGTCAGGGAATGACAAAAAGACTGAAAAGAGGAAAATATGAGAATAAATTTTTAAAGAAAGCACAAAAGCGAGAATTTTAAAGAAACTGGGCAAATTTCCAAGTCCTTTTCTAAGAATCCCAGTCTCAATCATGTAAGAAAGATGCTCATATGATTGACAATGAACTTTAAGATTAAAACATGAACCAAATTAAAGATTTCTTTTTGCTATTGAGGAAGCAAGACATATACAAAGGTTTTCCATTATAGTTAGGTCTTTGACAGAAAATTTAAGTTTGTAAGTAGCAGTGGAGTTTAAACTTCATTACCTCCCAACCTATGAGGACTTTCACACAGTGGATAATACATGCAACGTACATGGTAGCATGATGGCATATAGTCAGCATGAAACAAATGTTTGAAATGAAGATAGAAAGGAAACATAAAGAATTTCTCCTCTTTCCCTCTTGGTACCCATTTTCTAACCCAGTACAACACAAAATAGAGAGAAAAAAGGCAGGGATATGACCCTCAGAAAGAAGAATTTCCACAGCAAATAGATAGATTAATCAAACAAACAGATTTCAAATGGATGTGCCTTCTCCCCACCAACAAAACAACAAACAAACTAGAAGACCTGGATTAACAATAAAATAGGGAGAACAAACAATGAAGCTTGTTCGGACACTGAAATGGGTATTTCAAGTTGCAGTATCTACCCTGAATTTTATAAAAGTATAGGGAGCCTTATTTAATTGGAATGCTTTACATGCAAAATAGACCAAAAGTAGAAGGTCAAACTTAATGACCTCTAAAAAGCTCTGTGATTAAAATTTATTCTCAAAAACAAGCAGAATGAGGGCATATAGTAATTAATTGCCTCCCCTGCACACCTCCAAGGAATCTCAGCTTTGCCCTAGGAATATGTGTGTATGTGGGTGTGTGTGTGTGAGAGAGAGACAGACAGACAGCTGGATGGCATCACGTACCTCTGCGTCTCTGAACCTGTCTTCGTAATCCAATCTGTCCTTCTCTACAGCTGTCAGTTTTAACTTCAAGTTAGATATTTCAGCCATCAGATCCAACTTCTGAGTTTCTAAAGATGTTCTACTCAGAAGCTCCTATTAAAATTTAAGAAATATAGCCACAGGTGAATTTGTGTCATTTATGATTGTAAAGCAGCAACTATCAAGTAGAGGATGCAGTGAAGAATAACTATTAAATATACGCATTTTTAAAAAATTGTTTACTTTAGATACCCCCCTTTGAGCAGAACTAAACCCAGGTCAGTTTACTGGGGGAGACATATATAAACAAACACACATATATAAACCTTATATATTCTTAGGCCTGATGGTCACATTGGTGATGATGATGATATTATGTTTGCTATGTGCCAGGCACTGTGCTGACATACATTAAGTGGTTCAATTCGCACAACAATCCTATAAGGCAGAAACTCTTGTTATTCTTATTCAACGGGTGAGGAAGCAGAGGAAAAAAGAGGTTAAGAATTTGCCAAAAGTCATACAGCAAGGAAATGGCAGAACAGGAATTCAAACCTAAGTGGTTTTGTGCCAGTGTGTACTCTGTCCACTATACAAGTATTACAGGGCTTCTCATACATAACCACTGAGAGAGTGCGTGCGTGTGTGTGTGTAAACATTACGAGGTTTCCCCAATAACAAAGGTCATATATGGTACTTAATCTTTTTTCTTAATCATAAAATATAAGCTCATGGTTGAGTGTTAGGAAACCACATGAATGCAAAAAGAAGAAAAATTTTAAAACCTACAATTCTATTAATATTTTAGTCCAGATTCTAATTACATAAACACTCTATATTGTGTGTATGTGTTTTGAGACCTGCTACTCTAGATTTTTGTTTTAAATGTGCCTAGGTGAATCTAAGTGAATCTCGAAATTTACCACTGCATCAGAGCAAACACAACATAGATGTGTAGCATCTCAAACAGTTCAGCAGGAAAATTCCACCTTGGTGCTGGCTTCTCCACCTACCTGCTGCAGCATTTCTTCTGTAGCATTCAACTTCTCTCTGTGCTCTTCAAGACAAAACTCCAAATCTCGAATCTTCTCTCCCTGAGCCTCCACCTGGTCTGTTAACACACTTACCTGTATACAGAGCAAAATACTGTAATGAGTTAGAAAGAATTTGGGTCCCATTGCTTATTTCTCTAAATAGAACAAAAACTGGAATGATCTCACCACTCATATGGGTGTAAATTTTAGATATCTGAGAATTAAGAAAACAGTGGTCCTTCACATTCCTATTTACATGTTGTTTTTTGATGTAAGGACTTCTATTCAATTTTGGAGAAAGTGAGTGCTGATTGGGAATGTACAACACTTTACAGGTTAAAACCATTTCAACCATTTATGGGAGGTGGCATGTACACAAATTATCTCTTTTTGTGTGGAGGAGATACCATTAGAGGTTAAGAGAGTAAATGAAGTTAATGTTTGAAACAGAAATTATCAAGGACTATTCAAATTTGTTAGTTAAAGAAGAATAAGGAAAAGAATCCAGGGAGTTCAAATTCCATGAGATCTCTCCAGATCACAATGATCACAAGTGTGTTTAAAGGCAGGATGCAATTCAACATTCTCAAAGGTCCATGAGGAGCTGTTGGGTTAGTCCTTCATCCTTAGTGCTCATTGCAAATCGTTGCAAATTTCCTCAGTGATCACCAGCCTAGTAAATATATTTCAATTCATTTAGCTCAAAATGCCAAAGTAAAAATATTTATCAAGCGCTGAAAACATTATAAAAAAGCAACTCAAATTTAGGCCACAAGCAGGACTCCACTCACTGTTGTGTTTTGTTTGGTCTACTGTATCATTTCATATATTAAAAATATATTGTCAGATTCAGAAATATATGTCTATTCAGATTTTATCCTATAGATATTCATATATCTGAATTTCTGCTATATCTTAAAAAATATTTTAAAGATCAGATGAGATGACAGATGAGATCATAAAATCAGATCAGATGACACTGTGCCTATATTCAGACTGGCCCTTGAAGAGTAGAGGCCGATTAAGGGCTGGTCACCCAGACTGGGTGTACATACCCCTATTCAGCTGCAGTCCCCACCACTCCCTATTGTGTAACGGCCTACTGTTCTTATTTCTATTAGGTTGCTGTAAGCATCTGAATTTGCCATGCCAATTTAAAATAGCCTTTGTGTAAGTATATCATGAGGAGAGATAGACATTTAAAAATCACTTGCCTGAAGAACGAGGGATTCTTTATCGTTTTCTAAACGTGCTAGCCTTTCTTGATACACATCTCCATTCCCAGGTAGATGTCCATTTGTCTGAAAAGGAAAATAACACAGGTAAGACTGATCCTCTTTAACACTGACACACTGTGGGTAGAAGAGAATTGCATGTTTTTAATCCAAGGAGCCCGAACTGAATTCAGCACAGCTGTCAATGCCATTAACAGAAAATACGAGAATGTAATTTGGTTCATTTACCTCCAAATAGGTAAGACAGGCACATTAAGCAATTAGGCATGTTTTCACCAAATTAAACAACTTATCAAGGAGAAAATGACCCAAAAGGAACAGTGGCTACTGATATTCTTCACTGACAGTAGACACACACACAGAGGCATACAAAGCTCTGAGTGTGTGCTGGGGCATGATCCCCCCCTATTGTCCCTGAGTGTTCAGCGTTGCTAATACTGGGTGTGGACAGTGGTAATGACCTGTGACGACCTTCCACTCTGCCACCCCCACCCCAAGTTCCACATCTAGGACTACACATGCCTGCCTTTAATTGGGAGACAGCAGGGGCAACTTACACCACAGGCTTCTTCCTCCCTATTCAAGTCTCCAGATCATAGAACAAATCTTCCCTGACTCTTTGAAGCCTTGAGCCTTTGAAGTCTTTCTCTCTTCCCCTCAAAACTTAAACACTGAGTTCACAATCACCTCCCCTGCTAGCGCTGACTAGCCATGCTTATCAGCATTTTTCCACTGTCTTGAGCTCATTCACTGCTTGTGAGTTTGCTTGTTCATATGTACTGTGTTCAGCTCCTGGGCAGAGCTTGGAAACTAGTGTCGTCTTGTAACCTCCACATCTGGTTTAGTCTCTGCGAATACTGATCTTACTCTTTCTTTCCCTCCCTCCTGCCTCCTTTTTACCAGATTTGTGTATGTTTATGGTCTTGTAACCTCCACATCTGGTTTAGTCTCTGCGAATATTGATCTTACTCTTTCTTTCCCTCCCTCCTGCCTCCTTTTTACCAGATTTGTGTATGTTTATGCATATTATAAATGCCTAAGGAAGTATAGATTGAGAAGGAAAATAGAGATTTTTTTTCTCAGTTATCTTACATGAAAGTCATGAAAGTGACACTTGAAAAGGCTCACAGAGCAGAAAACATAAAAACGTCATTTTGAAATTTAGTAGTATGTGTGTCTTTCATAATCTCCTTTAAGTAGTTTATAACCATATAATAGGTAATCCCAATAGAACTTCCTGATTCCTCATTCAAATACAACAGAAATAAAAGCCAGTTGGAATCCAAAATGGTTGGATGGAGCTATCCAAAGTTCAAGTTGATCTCCTGTTCCCCTGAGACTTAAAAAGCAAATAACACCTTCGGATTTAGAACCATAAAAAATACAAACTGTATATCCTTACTGTCTAGGGCACATCTGAGGTGACATCTATCATTTTTCCAGGATTAACTGCTATTATTTTTCTACCTTTTGAATTAATGTTGTTTCCAGTATCAATTCTGGTAATAACAAAAGGTATGTGCTTGGAAAGAAAAACAAAACAAAACGGAGCTTTAACAAGAAAGAAAATTCCAGGATGTTTCTTCTAAAAACTTAGGCTCACTGAATATGTTTCCCAAGAGACCACAAAAGAATCAGAAACTAATTGATTAAGTGTGTGATGCATATTTAGAGTGGATAAAATTTTTAACACCAGCTGCTTGACCCGCATACCTGTACAATTACTACAGCCTAAGTGTGTTCATGCTGTTAACTGAAGTACCCAGAATTAAATTACAGTTATTAAGAAGAGCATGATGGAGTAGTCGAAATGACTACCAGCCCTGGGACTACCACAAAAATGAAATTCACATAACTTCTTCAGGACTGTTTTTTGGAAAACAGCCAGGACGCATAATGCATGTTCTCAATCTAAAAAAGTGCCAGAGCAGGCCCTGTCCACCTTCAAATTCCTCATTTTGATTATTACCATTAACAACCATCTGGTATTTTTGTTTTGTTTTTCTTTTTTTTTTTTTACTGAATCATAATCAGTTACATATTCCTGGGGTTCAATGTTGATGTATGTTGATCAAATCAATATTATTAGCATATATATTATTACAAATCATACTTATTCTTTATGCCCCTTATCCAATCTCCCCCCATCCCCCCTCCCACCTCTGATAACCCTAGATTTCTTCTCTCCTTCCGAAAGAGTAATGGTTCCTCTGTTGATTTGTTGCCTGGATGATCTGTCCAGTGCTGAGAGGTGTGTTCAGGTCCCCCAATATTATCATAGAGGAGATGCTTCTGCTAGCACTCTGGAATGGACAGCCATCTGTTTTTAAAACCACACATAAGCGATGCTTTCTAAACAGATACATTTCATAAGGTAGAAAAAATGCTTTCTATTCAGCAAGCACAAGAAGTAAAACTCATCTTCCTTCTAACTGGAGGAAATTATAGCAAGATTAGCAGTGTTTCTTCTCAAGCTACTGCATATGATATGGAAACGAGATGTTCCAAAACCAGTTCTCTAAAATTATCCTGAAATAAAAACAAACACTGAAAATGGACTCAGTGAGAGTTCTTTTGTTTCTCAATTCTGTGTTTATATTTACATGCACACATAACAATCAAGAGTAGTTTAATATTTTTTTAAACATTAAAAGTCACCATAGAAACATAGAGCAAAATTTAAGAACCACGACTGGAGTAGTTTACATACTTGTGCTAACATATCCAAGTAGGTAAAGATCTGTTCTATCCATGTGTTTATTTATATCTCTGCCAATTTGTTGCTTTTGCCTTAAGAGTGTTAGAAGGAGGTAAATTCCATTAGGTAAATACCCTACTGTCTACCACCTCCCTGTGCTCTTCCTACCGGATCCCTCAAAATCTCCCCATCCACAGTATGCTCTCTCACATACTAATTTTATTCCTTCTTCATGGACTTTCTTTCCGACCCTTTCGTATCATTTCCTCATCCTTTAGTCACTTATTCTTCCTAATAGTCTCTCAGTGCAAAACTGTCTTAATTTCTTTTGATTCTTCCTCCATGATGCGTATAAAATCCTAGCACGTAATTAAAAATGTACTTATATAAACTCTTGAGTTCATCTGACTTCCAAAGCACTGAAGAACAGCCTAAATTACTTTATTCAAAATCCCAGAGATGCCTTCAAAATAACCCTTTCTATTTTAGCTCTTGGTGCAATCGCTTATTGACCACATTCAATCCAGCTGAGCATTTAAGTCAAAATTGGAATCAGCTTGGGAATTTCAACAGTACGGTATCCAACTAACTGTGTGTGGAGGGTCAGGGTGGGAGATCCAGCTCTGCTGTAATATTGATACTTTGATTTAATTAAAGACCTTATGGTGTTCGCTAGGTTTTGCTGGCATGACAGGGAGAAAAGCACCTAAAAAGCTTTATTCCTCATAAAATTATAGAAGCCTAGAGCTAGCCAGGAACCTCACCTGAGAATGCAAATTGCAACTCACACGGCAGGTGCTACATGTAACATTAGGGTACCAACTGCCTTTCCCTTCACCATCTAAAGAAAAGATCTTCATTTTATGTCAATTTCCTTTTAATTATCAAGTAGAAACATATAATCAAGCATGAAGATATAAAATAAAAAAAAGTTAACATCTTGCCTTTGTGCCTTTGTTTAAAAAAATTTTTTTATTACAGAAAATTTTAAATATGTGTAAAATTAGAGAGACGAGCATGATGAAACCCATATACCTGTCACTCAATTTCAACAGTTATTAATTCATGGCAGGTGGGAGTCTTTTGTCTGATATTTTTACTTATAGCATCATATTGCATTTTCCTTTGACTTTCCAGTTCTACTGGTTTGCATTAGTCTGCAGTGGTCTTCCCTGTTTCCCCCACCTTCATTTTGCTTTATTCCTGGGTTCTGCTGTCCCGACTAAATCCAAAATCAACATATGAGCAGCAATTTGCCACAATTATACTTATTTATTTCGTAACACAAAAACTCATTTTGAATGTTAACATTCCCAAATCAGAATGGTGAGTAACTAAATTAAAATGGGGAAAAGAAAAGGAGTCCCATTTTATAAGGACAAGTGTTAAGAAACAGTTGGACTAGTATTATTACATATATACAAATACACACAAATTCTACCCAGTAAATCTAATTATTTTTAAAATTAATTTTAAAAACTGTCATACTGTCTTGATTTCATAATTCTATTTTTAAAAATTCAGTACAAAAAAAGAGAAAGTAACGCTCCGTTCACTAAATCTCCTTCAATTAAATATTCTCTCTAGCTACCAAAAGAAATATTTACTATAAGGGTGTCCTAATCAGTATTACATCTCTACCACTACATGCAAACATGGGAGAAGAGATGGAGCCAAGACTTGAATCCATCAGCCACAAATAGCACAGTCACATGTCACTTGGGTCCAACACCACAATAAGGCATCTCACACTGCTACTGTCCAAAGAGTCAAAGAAAATGATACCAGCAACAATGGAAATCAAGCCACCAAGCGGAGGCAGTACTCTGCTCCCGAGTCCTCTTGAGGGCGTGGGCTTCTGCAGTGGGGAGAGGGGTACAGGTTGAAAATACAGCATTATCCTGGTCACAGATGTACTCCAGGCCCCTGGGTTATAGGAGGATAGAGAAAAGAAGGTTCCAGTGTCCCAGAAGCTAAGCCCCAGCTCCTATCCTGTCATAGTAGCATATTCACTCATTTACTCCCCCATCATTCATTGATTCATTCAATATCTACTGAAAGCCAGCTATGTGACAGAACACATATCTAGCAAAAGAATCTCTCTTCTACTTTGGGAAGGATCACACGAGATCAAGAAAAAATGTTGTCCATATTGTTCTTGTCCCTTATTCTTTCTTAACTCACTTTCATAAAGGAACAGAGAAATCTCTTTTCACTCAATCCTAACAAACGCCAGTAGCCAGAGATTCCATTAAAAGATATCTTACAACTCTCTCAACTGAGAATTCTACAGACTGGTTCAATTTGTTTTCCTGTATCTGTGGACGCTTTTCTTGGGAGTTTACCAGAAGCGTAAGGGAAAGCTGCTTTAATTTTAGTTAGGATGTCTCAGTGAGACACTGCATAACTCAAATAACTATGATCACTTGTGGCATACAATCTTCAGATGTACCTTGTTTGACAAGGCCTGAAAAAACATTCCCTGAAGGCGCACATGAAAAGAGAAGCTGGCCAGAGAGCAGCAGGGATCAGAGGATGGTGGGACTGGAATGGACCATGTGGCTGGGAATCAGGGACTCAGGGGGAACTGCCAGCAGCCCTGGAGAGAACATGTCCCATGGCTAACCCCTTCAAATTATGAGTATTTTTATTTGTACAGAAACTTTAAAAAAAGGTACATGTGGAATTAATATTATCTAATTTTTTAAATGTAGAAATAAGAAAGAAATGTATTATAATGATTTAATAAGTAAGAAGCCAGCCAAGAACACCTCATCTCTCCTATTTACACCCTACTTTTCTCCTGGGTTACAATGCCTGATTTGGAGTTATCACCATTGGTATTTTCACTCACTCTGTTGAAAACTGTATTTTTATAATCTCTGCTGACTTTGAGATTGCCTCATAATGAAAACTGCCAAATAATCAGACACTTTTGGGATTTCATTATCTAATCTCCCCACTGCTGCATATCCAGGTCATGATCCTCTGTTTCGTCTACAGGAAAAAATATTTGAGGAATGTTTTAGGGCAACTCATTAGGTTAGACCTAAAGGAAACAATAACTACTTGCTTGGTGCAAAGAGTTAGACATATTTTTCTAATTCCCCTCTTAAATCTGGAGCTTATGATTCACGTAATTCTCCATTATTAATATTTATGTTAACACATGATAGCATTTCACAATCAAAACTGAGAATTCTTCCTCAGTAATTAGACAAATATGTCATATTCAATAGTTTTTATTTATTTATTTTTTTAACTACAGAAGACAAACTTCTGAAAAGATTCATTTGCTTCTAGAAGCCTACAGCTATACCTGGCTCAGGCAAAATAAAATAAGAACTACAAACGCCCAGCTGCACACATGAAAAGATTAGTATAAGTCTTAAAGTACATGGACTCTCAAGTTGGCCATCATTAATAACGAATGATATCTTAATTATGTAACTGGTATCAGTAAGAAGTTTTTCTAAAATATTTTTCCATGGTTTGAGAAATGTCACAAGAAGTGAACTATGTATGAGTGATTTGTAACCTAACTCCTCTTAATAACTGGACACAACTCTCTCTCCCTCATTGTCAAGAGATCCTGTTAAACATCTTCTCTCTACTCTCTATGATCTACTCTTCAATATTACCTGCTTGACTAGCCTTCTGCCAGGCTCATGGGAAATTGCTCAGCACACATCACCTCATGGGATCCTCATAAGAAACAATCATCCCCATTTTACAGATGAGGAAACTGAGACATAGAGCTGAAGAAATTTTCCCAAAGTCATACAAGCTCCTAAGGGTTAGAGCCAATGTTAATATTCAGGTCTGCTGTCTCCAGAGCCTCAGTTGTAACTGCCTAGGTACAACCCTGCCTTATTTATCATTTTGCTGCTTTTTTATAGCTGGACCTACTTTGTTATTTGGATAATATTCCATTTAAATATAAAGGAGAATTTGCAAGGATTCTGTGTTCCTTCAGTTCTAAGATGCCATCAATTTTTATCACACTATTAATTTTTTTTAATTGTGACAATATACACATGTAAAATTTAACATCTTAAACTATTTTAAGCATATAATAGTATTAAGTACATTCACATTGTTTTGCAACCATCATCACCATTCACCTAAAGAACTCTTTTCATCTTGTAAAACTTTAACTCTGTACCCATTAAATATTATCTCCCCAATTCCCCCTCCCCTGACTGACAGTCACCATTCTACCTTCTGTCTCTATGAATTTGACTATTCTGGCTACCTTATTACCTAGAAAAAGAAAAAAAGGAAGGAAGGAAGGATCCCAACTAAAATGTATACATATCCTCATTTTCAAGTTCATAAAACGTATCCCCCCTTCTGAAACATTAAATGGGAGAAATCTAATATTATCAGCAAATCATTAAATTATAAGCATGGTCTCACTGGATTCCCAATGCCAAATCAAGTACTCTTTTGGTTCTAAAAGTCAAGTCTACCCTGGTAGGTGTGCAGAGCCTGCTTGCTTCACGCCTGTGCCTCTGTCATTCCAAACACCTTTTCCTGCTCTCTTCTTCTCACTTTGGTTTTTGCCCTTTGCCATCTTTCTTCTTTCATTCTTTGTATGTTTGAGAAAACATACTTAATTTGGAAGGTTTGAGGTTGAGGGAATACATATCAATAAGTTAGATAGACATGAATTAATTCGACAAAAAACCCTTCTCTCTCTGGACCCCTATCTAGTTTATTTTGTTTATTGTTGATTTTAGGATGAAAACTGGATCTTCATAAGTTCTGTAAAGTATTTTTCACTTTGTAGATTTTTAAGTTTAAAGTGTCAAATATTAAAATAGAAAGCAACTAAAACACAAACCAACAAGCCATTATCTATCCAAGAAACAAATTTAAAACAACAACTTCAGTTCATTCAAATGTGCATTCCACTTTAATCATTCATGGGGCATCATTCATTACAAATATAATTTTTGAGCACCTAGTGTATTCCAGGCATTGTTCCAGGCACCAGGGATACAGTGTTTTTGTTTTTGTTTTAAATAAAGGCAACGATCTCTGATTCACAATGCTTACGTTCCATTTGGAAATACAGAAAATAAATAATATAAATGTGACAAATACACAGTACATAAGAAAGCGGTGAATGCTAAGAAAAAATAAAGCTGGGAGACATACTGCAAAGAATCAATGTATGAAATCTTAGACAGGGGGGCAAGAAAGGGCCTCACTGAGGGCACAGCTTTTGAGTAAACACCAGATTATGAGGGAGCTAGCCATAAAGATATTGGGGGAAAGAGCTTTCCAGGCAGATGGAACCGCCAGTGTAAGGGCCCTGAGACCAGTTTCCCTGGCAAGTTTGAAAATCAGTAAAGAAGCCAATGTGCTTGCTGGAGTGCAGTGAAAAGGGGGAAGCATAATGAGATATGAAGTCAGAAAGTGATGGGGAGCAAATCCTATAAGGCCTTGCAACCCACAGTAAGCACTTCGGTTTTTACTCTAAGATGTGATGCTATTGACAGTTTCTGGAAAAGTAGTGAGTGACGTGATCTAACTTGTATTCAGATATCGTCATTATCACTTTTTATCAGTTCCAGAAATACTTTAGCAGAACATATTAAGCACATGTTAATGAAAATGTTTTGGACACAAGTCAAAAGTTCAACCAGAGATACTCTCCTTAAGCTATGGCTGCCATTGCTGGCCTCTGGATGTGGCCTAGGAATGGGTTCTTCTATCACTAGTAAATTCCTTTCTCACCACATGCTGAATGGTCAGAAAAACATAAAGTAAGAAGGGGTGAGGTCAGAAGTAGAAAGAGGCTAAGGAGTACACTAGCAAATACCTACTTTTACAGCATGAAGCAATCCCCAAAGAAATCAGCAAATCTGGACCCTTAAAACTCTGGAGGAGAAACTTGAAGAGCAAATATAAAACACAATTATAAAATATCATGTACTTTAAAAAATAAAATAGCTCCAATCATCAAGGTTGTGTAGCTGCACCACCACCAAAAGATGGATCGTACCGTTTGCACTCAGAAATGGAGGAGCAAATCAGGCAAGAACATAAGGACATTCAGCACAGGACTGGTTGGGGGCACCAGTATCTGCGTCTCGTCCCATGAAAATGTCTCGGCTGTAGGACGCTCTGTTAAGGTTCACAAAGCAAGAAGTGTTTGTTTCTACCACAGATCCTAAAATACATCTTGATTCTTTCATACAATTTTCATTAGTTTTTATACAAATGCATTTAACTCATAAACGTATTGCAGCATCTTACTAAAAATTGAGTATCCTTTAAATACAAAATATCACCTTTCCCTTCTCTTTGAAACTGTTTTTCTCACATTCTTTAGGTTTTATGTGTTCACCACATATTAAAACCATGATATCTACCACTGTGCCAGAGAACGGGTAGCTCTGCCCTGTCATCAATTTTTGAAAAGGATGCCTAGAAAGAGGCCTCGTTGTTCAGTGAATAAGAACACCATTTAGAGCCCAACTCCACAACTTAACCGAAGAACTGCAATTAAAATGATTGCCACAAACCACTAGATGGCACTTCATGTCAAAGATTGCTACAAACCTTTGTTGCTTTTTGAAGTGTCTACACTTCCCATTTAGAAATGCCATTGGGTCCTTTGCAGTGAATGTCCCAATATTATTGAGAAAGCATCTATTATCTGCAAGGTTCTTTCCCTCATAGGACTATTTGTTTTAAGCCACAGTAGGTCATTCAAGAATAATCTAAAAGCCAGTCCATTTTTGTGGGCAGAATCAGGTGAACTCTTGGCACTCATGAAACGTACACACACAGCACTTTTTTAAAAACCTACCCTCAGAGTCAAAAGGGACTGGAATCTCTTAAGGGATAAAATTGGAGCAAACCTGTTGCTCTGTAATTTTTTTTTATTGTTCTAATCAGCTACTCTAAGTTCTAAATTTTGGAATAAGCAACCAAAGAGTCACAGCACAGAACGTGTAACATGCAGATACATACCATTTGACTCTGAAGCCATTCAATGAGCGTTTCTGCTGTTGAATCTGGGATCTGGCATCTCAAGCCTTCTTTCTCATCTGTCTCCATCATCTCCAGCAATCCACGCAGGTCTTCCACGAGATGCAGAGCTCGCAAGCTTCCCATGAATGGAGAGGTGGGAGATTGGCAATCAAAAATTCCATTAGGATATTCCAGGGCCTTAGAACCTAAGTTAAAAAAAAAAAGATCAGAGAGAGAGCAATAGGATCTATGCTAGATAAAGCACCACAGGATGAAGGTGGTAAACCAGTCTAGTCCCAGTGAGGAACAATCAAAACAAGAATAGGAAGGAGATGATAATTCAATCACGTAAATCTCTCCAAGTCTTGTTAGACGATGCAAGATAAAAACCACATACTTGATAGTAAATATCAGTTGTCCAGTACTTAACAAGGAGGCCACCTCTTAGGTACAGACAGAAAGAGGGTATGGTGGGCTTTGGTGCAAGATGTGCTGGCCTCACACACATGATGAGTAAGAAGGTGGCATATCAGTTCAGGGAGAGCCTTGCATTCTAGAAAATACAAATTTTAGAGACCCTAAAGACTTCAAATTCCCTGAAAAGGAGTTTACCCACTGAGGTGGAAATTGCATAGCATAATCTCAAAGAGGACCAGTTCCCAGATAACTTAACAGAATTTAATTTCTGAAGTTCAATAAATTACAGATGTGCATTTGTACACATGTGACAGCATGCCTATACAAACATTTTCCCTCATGATTTTGTTTGCAGCCTAGCATCAAATGCTCTTGTTAACATCAGCTTTAAAATATAGTTTTACAGCCATTTCATTTTTATTACTTACAAGAAAAAACATTCTACTACTTAAATTCACACAACTGACCCACAGCCCATTCTGAAAGCAATCATATATATCTCTTCATTTCTTTGATTTTTATTTTCTGGTTTGTCAAATATACATACTACTTTTATGCTAAATATCAGTAACTATTTTGGCTATCACCTCACAAGTCTGAAGGTCCTCCAATTGGAAGACACCCGCAAACCAACATGTGAGTTCTCTCTGCAGCTGGCCACCTGGCTTGATCAATGCGGACAGGAACTCTCTTTTAGCCAGTTCATCCACTGACCTTCCTAATACTGAGCCAAGTGATTTGGATCAAAATCTGCCAAACTATAACAACAGTCATTGTTGATATGCTAGGCACAAAGTTAAATGTATCATTTAACCCTTTTAATCAATCCCCTCATGAACCCTGTAAGGCTGAGATGAGAACCCAGAAAAATATAAATTGAGGAGAGTATGTCACGGGAAGGTGGACAGTAGAGCAGTGTCCCTCAAGGTATGGTCCACAGACCACCCACACCAGAATCACCTGAGATGCAGATTCCTTATCCTTAATCAGAAACCTAGGATGGAGTTTCAATTTTCAACATTTTAAAATAAAGTCTGAGAATAATTCTGGTAGAAAATGGAGAAGAGGAACAAAGATGAAACCACAGGGAACCTAAAGGCATTGCAGTGGGCCAATAAATAAAAATAAGAAAAAAACTGAACAGCTAATAAGAATTGTAATTAAAAAGCCAGGAGAGCAGAGTAAATGCCATCGTTCCAACTTCTACAGGATGCAGATTACCTGCGATAATACCATCCATCTGCTCCAACGCCGCAGCCAGCATGTCACTTGCATCACTCATCATTTTCTGATTTGTCAAGGCCAAATTCCAACCTAGATCTGAAAAAACAATGATGCTATCATTACGTCCTTTAAATGACACATTTGCTAGTGGCTTTGATAGCTCAACCTCAAATTATAAATATATAGAGAGAACTTCAGAGGTAGAGGAGCTGAATTAATGGAGTCATTTAATGAGCCATAGCCAGTCATCTACTGTAATGCAAGACCATGTGCTGCACCTGTATATGTTAATAAAGGAGATTCAGTTCTTGCATGCAAAGTGTTTGAAATCCAGTAGAATGGTTTCCATGCTGTATTCTTTAGAGCTAGAGGAATCTGTGAAGGGAATCGGGGATGGCTGTGGAAGGTCACTGAAGGCCATGAAGGGTGCTGGAGGACAAGACTTTTTTCTCCCTATATCAGTCCCAACAAGTCTCTGCTCTCTTAATTTTGTTTTTTTCTTTTTTCTTTTTCTTTCTGTATAAGGGGTTACCATATTATCTAAGAAAAGGGTTTATTAACACATATACTAAACACACCCCCCCACTGGTAGTTTGTAATGTAACAATAGCTATCATGTATTAAGTACCTAAAGTGGCCTCTATTCATTTCCAAAAGTATCCACAATCCTAAATCATGATAGCAATCCTATAAAATGGATTAATTTGTGTCCATTTTATAAACGATGATTGAAGACATTTGATATTTGCATGGAAATACAGCAAGCAAATATAGCAAAGGCCAGCTTTTAACTTAGGTCTGTCTGACTTCCACCATAATACCGAGTTTCTGTTTATTTGATCCTCTCTGAAAAATAGGTTTATGCTGAAATTGTGTCAAAATCTACTCATTGTTTTACGTGTTAAAAAAAATACACAGAAATTACACTTGCAAAAAAAATTGGTCATTGACAGGAAAGAGTTAAGACTGTGTGATTTTCAACATTCATCAATGTATTTCACACAAATCAAAACCACATTGAGATATCATCTCATCCCAGGTAGACTGGCTATTATAAAAAAGACAGAGAATAAAAAATGCTGGAGAGGAAGTGGAGAAGGCGGAACCCTCCTATGCTGCTGGTGGGACTGGAAGTTGGTGCAGCCATAATGGAAAATGATATGCAAGTTCCTCAAACAACTACAGATACAGCTTCCATATGATCCAGCGATTCCACTGCTGGGTATATACCCGAAAGAATGGAAATCATCATGTTGAAGGGATTCCTGCACTCCCATGGTTATCTCAGCTCTATTTATAATAGCTAGGAGTTAGAACCAACCTAAATGTCCATCATCAGACAACTAGATAAGGAAAATGTGGTATATATACACAATGGAATACTACTCTGCCATAAAAAAGAATGAAATACTGCCAATTGCAGCAACATGGATGAACTTAGAGAAAATTATGTTAAGTAAAACAAGCCAGGCACAGGAAGAGAAATACTGCATGTCCTCACTCATAAGTGGGAGCTAAAAAATTAAACAAAGAAAGAAAAAAAGATACAATAATCACAATAATATGTAGAACTTTCAAAAGGATAGAACAGAACTGAAATTACCAGAGGTAGGAAAGGGGAAAAGAGAGGGAGGTAAAGGAGGAATTGGTAAAGGGGCACCAAACAATTACACTGCATAATGCTGAGTATACTAATTATCTTGATTTGAGCATCACATATTGCACACTAGTATTGATATTCAACTCTGTACCCCACAGATATGTACAATCAATGTTTCAATTTTTAAAATTATTTTTAAAAAACAACAATCAATGCATTTCAGGTATGAGACTAAGCACCCATGTAGATATAGATTCTCCCAGCAGGCCTGAATAAGAATATTGCTATTATTTTACAGATACTGTAGTATGGCAAATATCTGCAGGGAAAGGGTATGCTGTTTAACAGACACCTTTGCCCTCTGTTTCCAAGCAGCCAGATCTCATTTACTATTTTATTTTCACAGATATATTTATAGTTCTAGTATCAGCTTCTTGGATCGGTGGTCTACTATGTATGCATTCTAATAAAATGCCATATGATTGTGTGAAACATTACTTCGATTTTATAGTAGTTTCATCTAAGAATTTTCTAGAACTCTACTCACTTCAGAAGGTATAAAATATCTGGGCCAGCCCGGTGGCGCACTGCTGCAGTGCACCGCTTGGGAGCGCGGCGGCGCTCCTGCCGAGGGTTCGGATCCCACATGCAGACCGGTTCCCGCTCACTGGCTGAGCGAGGGGCGGGCGCAGCACCGAGGGTTGCGATCCCGTTGCCGGTCCCGGTCCGGTACGGGCGCGACACTGAGGGTTGCGGTCCGTTGCCGGACACACAAAAAAGACAAAAAAAAGGAAAAAAAAAAAAAAAAGGTATAAAATATCACTACCATTTTATGTGGAAATACTACAGCACAAAAATACTCAAGGTATGTGTTTATAGTCACCCAGAAACCAAGGTGTCAACAAGCTAGGTTATGAACCTAGCTAGTTCTAAAAAATTAACTCACACACTTAGGTAGTGCAGTCCAAAGAGGTGGGGTACAAATTTAATAAGCACACTTCAGGATGAAAAACTCAAAACATGAAAATTGAGAACATAAGTGATTAAGCTGAATTTCATAGAATGAAGTAGTCTAGGGCTGGCCCGGTGGCGCACTGGATAAGTGCGCCGCTTGGGAAGCGCGGCGGCGCTCCCGCCCGAGGGTTCGGATCCCACATACAGACCGGTTCCGGCTCACTGGCTGAGCGAGGCGCGGGACCAACACCGAGGCTTGCGATCCCGTTGCCGGTCCCCGGTCCGGTACGGGGGCAACACTAGGGTTGCGATCCGATGCCGGACACGGAAAAAGACAAAAGACAAAAAAAAGGAAAAAAAAAAAAAAAGAATGAAGTAGTCTACATTCTCTTTCATTTTTTTTTTTTTTGCCTTTTTTCCGTGTCCGGCATCGGATCGCAACCCTAGTGTTGCCCCCGTACCGGACCGGGGACCGGCAACGGGATCGCAAGCCTCGGTGTTGCTCCCGCGCCTCGCTCAGCCAGTGAGCCGGAACCGGTCTGTATGTGGGATCCGAACCCTCGGGCGGGAGCGCCGCCGCGCTTCCCAAGCGGCGCACTATCCAGTGCGCCACCGGGCCGGCCCCTACATTCTCTTTCATTTAAAAAGCTTTAAATATACCCTAAAGTAGCATTTTCTATATATACGTTTATACATGTGTACATATCAAATAAAGAGACACATGCCAGGCTTAGCTATAAACATGGAAATGCCAATAAAACAGAGTAATGCCCACATTAGAAAAACACACTCACCACCCTCATTAAATTAGAAAAATAAATATTGTCTTTGTTAGCAGCTATATTTTAGTAAGAGCATAAACACTTTTTCAAGTATGACAGGTAGTTGTCTATTTCTTTTTTGTTCTATTCAATGAAGCTTTCAAATGCTATGACATGGAGGTATGAAACAATCTAAATCATGCTTCAAAGAGATGATGAACCAGTTTTTAAAAAATTTCCAATTCATTAGAGGCCAATCTTTTGTTTAATATAATAAAAATATGATGACAATATTAAATCACTACAACAGTTTAAAAAGTCTTACTCTCAATCTCTATATCATGTAGCAGTCTACATGTAATAAAAGGGGAAGAAACTAAATAAACGTAAGTAATAAATATGTATATAATATGGTTTGGGTGGTAGGTCATAAGGGGAGGGGATTGCAAAGTAAATAGGTGGTCAGGGAGCAGTGATAATATCAAAGGCCAAAGATCTCTCTAATAAATTAAAGGTAGTTAAATGTAGGTGGTTTAGTTCAGTCGTACTCCAAGTGTAGAATTTCTACAAATCAATCAAAAAAAAAAGATGAACAGACACTTAAGAGAAGAGAAAACATTTCCAACCAACAAAAATGTGAAGAGATGCTTAATATCATTAATCAAGGAATTTAAAACAATGTGACACTGTATTATGCCCAGTCAATTAGAAAAAAAAAAAAAATTGATACTGCCAAGTGTTAGAGAGGATGTGTACTCACATAATGTCTTATAGAGTGGTGGTGGGAATGTAAAATGGTTTAACCACTTCGGATAACAGTGCAGCATGATCATCTAAAAGTAAACATTCGCATTCATTTTCAATACAGCAATATTTACTCCAAGGTATAGAACTAAGAGCAATACACAAATGTTCATGGTAGGACTCTTTACAAGAACAGAAATATGGAAACAACCCAAATGTCCATCATCATGAGAGGGGATGAATAAACTGTGGTATAGTCAAACAATGGAATGACATACAGTTGTCAAAACAAACTAAAGCAACATATGTATAGTATGGATAAATCTATGCAATATAACAAATAAAAAGTCTCCAGTAAATTGTAAATTCAGCAAGACATTTTAAAAAGTTAAAAGCAATTAGATCTATATATATTTAATTGGTCTTATACATACAGTCATGCACTGCATAAAGACGTTTTAGTCAACAACAGAGGACATATACAGCAGTGGTCCCATAAGATTATAATGGAGCTGAAAAATTCCTATTGCTTAGTGATGTCATAGCCATCATAATTTTGTGCAAAACGCATTACTCACACAGGAGCAACAGGCTATATCATATAGCTTAGGTGTGCAGTAGGCTATACGATCTAGGTTTGTGTAAGCACACTCTGTGATGACCACACAATGAAATCATGTAATGATGCATTTCTCAGAATGTATCTCCATTGTTAAAATTCACATGTATATATCAGTAATTGATATATATTAATTATATTGACTATATATATATAAATTTTAGAAATACATACAAATTCAATATAACTACACAGAAAGAAAAAAGGGAATGATAACAAGGTTACTGCCAAGTTTTTGAGTTGGCTAATAATTCAAAAGTGCTTATTATATTACTAAAAATAACAAAATGGAAATTCCAGTTTTGATAATGGTGGAACAAATTTTACTGGACAAACTGTCCCACAAATGATACAAAACACCAGATAAAATATAAAAACACTTTTTGAAGAAATTTGAGGGAGAGGAACCAAAAGCAGG